GCAGGACCCCGGGTGCTCAGAATCCCCCGAGGGGGCACAGCAGGCGGTCCCGTCCTCTGTGCTGGGCAGCCAATTAAAAAAAAAAAAAAAAAATAAAATTCCGATTTGTGCGCTGGGCTGGATGAACCCCGGTTCGTGCCGCAGAAGCAGCAGATTCCTGATGCTCCCAACAGCCCTCGTCAGTTCGGGGCTGGATCCCGTCACAACAGGCGCCCAAGCACCGAGTTTAATCTTTCATAGCTGGCGATCATCGAACTTTAATTAGCTGCAACTGCGCGCCGTAAATTAGAAGATGAGTATTTAATAGCGACGCGTCTCCGTGGATAATTGGGATACTGCACGTAGTGTAAAACTGCTGATAGCGTCTCCCTGTGCTCCCCGTGGGGAGAAAAAATCCCAGCGGGGCCGCGGCGGCGTTTCGCTGCCGACATCCGTCCGCTGCGTGAAAAGCGCTTGGAACCAGCCACCCTGCGTCTGCTCAAAAAAATCCTTAAAAAAAAAAATCCTGAAGGAGCTCAGCGCAGAGCGGCGGAGGAGCCTCGGGACCGCGCTGGCTTTCGGGGGGGTCTGGGCGAGGTTGTGCCTCTCCCCGGCGCCCCGGGACTCGGCGGTTCCCTTGGGAATCTCGGACAGACGGTTCACGTCTCCCCGCCTCGTCGCTCCTCAGGAAAAAGGATTTTTTACCGACGGCAACGCAGAACAGCAGCCATCTGACATCTGCAAGCACGCCGCATCACGTGATTCGTCACTCCTCGGCTTTAATTTTGGTATTAATTTTTTTTTTTTTCCCCTCCCTCCCTCATCTTGCAGCGTAGCGGTTGTCGCAGCAGTTTCCAGGCTTCCGCAGGGAGTTTCTCCCTGGAAACCTCCCCCTGGGGTTTCTGGGGAAAAGCCTCCGGTTCCCGCAGCCGGCCGGGATCGCCCCGGCGGCGCTGGATGTTGCTCCGCTGCCGGTCCCGCTCTCGTCGCTAACGCAGCGCCGCCGGGATGAGACCCCGCGGGCGCAGGGTGCGGTTGTTCGTCGTGGCGCCCCGACGGGAGGGACCGGCCTCGTGTTCCCCAGGCGTTCGAGCTTGGTTTTTGGAGGGGGGGAAGCATCCCCGTTTCCTTTTGTACTGCTGGTGCAGAAATATAATTTTTTTTTTTCAATAATGTGAACAAGAATCAATTGCCGTCACTGCGTCTATCAGAGCGCCCGTTCCCCCAGTACCTCGCAGGGCGGGGAGGCGGGGTGAGGCTTTAACAAATTTTGCGTAGTTTCCCCTCGAACCCTGTTTTCCCCACAGTAAAACCCCTCGGCAGCCCGACAGGCTGGCGCGTGGCCAGGTCCCGCGGAGGCAGAAGTTAAGGCTGGGGCGGGGGTTTTAGGGGTCGCGGCTTGGGAAATTAAGATCGAACACGAGGGAAAAAAATATCTCCCAGGAGGGCGGCAGAACGCTGGGACGGTGCCTGGAGAGCCGGGGGAGGCCTTTCAGGTGTTGTCGGGGCTGTGATAGCGCCGGGGGAAGCTGGGCTGGAGCTCGCCGGGGTTCCGTGAATTTGTGGCGGTTTCGGGTTTTTTTCGTAAGTCACAGAAATTCGGTTGTTACGGACGAAGCGGGAGCAGCCGAGCGTTTGGAGAACCTGGGGGAGGTGCAGCTCTTCTTCCCTTCCAGCCTAAGCATCGCGTCGCCCTTAGTCCCGCGGGTGAGGGATTGGAACTGGCCGTGCCACGGTCAGTAGAGCCGGTCCGCGGCGAGATACCGCGGCTTGCGCGGGGGCCTGGGGGAATCTCCAACTGGGACGCGTCTCCTCTGCCAGTTTAGCGCCCACGCTGCGTTGTGCTGCAGGATCATTAGGGTTAAGAGTGAACAATCTTGGTGTCGGGGTTGTGTCAATGCAGGGAAGTCAAAGAATCCCAACGTTGGGGTCGAGTCGAGGCGGGGGGGTCGGTTCGTGCCGTTACCGGGCTGCAGGAGGCCCCGCTTCTGGCACAAGTGCGTGCGCTTCGCTCTGGTTGTCCTCACCAGTCGCCCGACTGCGGGACGCGGTCACGGAGCTGTTGGAAGACGGAAATAAGCTCAACCTCTGGGCCAAAGGTTTGAATCTTTGGGTTGTTTGGGGTTTGTTGTTTTTTTTTTTCTCCCCCCTCGATCTCCAAACTGTGGACGCAGAATCACCAAAATACATTTTAAAAGTGTTTCCTTTTGCGCCATTTAAGTCCTTAACGACGTTGCTTCGGTTCCGTCGCGTTTCCCGAAAGGCCGCCCGGGTTCCCTCCCTCCGGGGCGTGTCCTGCCCGCCGAGGCCCACCCTGGGGATCTGAGCCAATTGCAGCAGCAATCGGCGTCTTTTCACCCGAAACGGCTGAAACCGGGGGCTCCGTCCCCGCCCCCCGAGAGCTTCTCCCCGCCAGCTCGGACGTTCACACTGTGCTCGTTTTCTCTTCCAGGATGATCCCAGCTGGTAGTAAATCCTTCTTCTTGACTGATCTGGTTGCAGGACGTGAGTACGACCTGTGTGTCCTCGCTGTCTACGACGACGGGCTCACCTCCCTGACGGCCACCAGGGTGCTGGGCTGCGTGGAGTTCACCACCCAGGAGGAGTACAAACAGTGCCGCTCCCTCCACGCCCAGTTCCTCGGCGGCACCATGATCATCATCATTGGGGGGATCATTGTGGCTTCCGTCCTCGTTTTCATCTTCATCCTCCTCATGAAGTACAAAGTCTACAACAACCACCACAAAAACAAGGCGACGAAAGTGAACAACGTCTGCTCGCAAACCAACGGCAGCCAGAGCGGCTCCATGGCTCGTTCCACCTCTAAACTGGCGGAGAGGAGGGAAAGTTTGCACCAGGAGTGCTCGGGCTCTTCCAGCAAAGGGAAAACTGTCGTAGATTTGGATTGTGACAAAGTGACTCCAACCAACACAACCTTTTTAACCACGGACACGTTGTCTTAGTGGCCGTGCGACGGGACGGGACGCACCGGGGCGGTCGTCGCTCGAAACGTTCAAAACGCGAGTGGTTGTATTTTAAGCTTCACTACTATTGTCTATTTTTAAGATCAGATGGTTTAAAAAAAAAAAAATATTTTTTTAATCTGTATACAGTTCCTGCATTCTTAACTATTTTGTTTCAATATATTAAATATAAGTGTGTGATTTACAAGATTTTTTTTTTTTTTAACTGGTTCTTTTATAGCACACGCCTCTGGAAACGGGGCCGGCAGAGTAGCGGAATTCTGCTCGGTTCGTCTTGGCTGAAACGCACTATTATTTTTTTTTTGGTTGGTTGTTTTTTTTTGGTTTTCCTTTGGTCACCAACCAGCAGCTAAAACTGTACTCTCAGGATCCTCAGACTTTGCCCTCACGGCAGAGTCACTCCGCAGATTAAACTGCTCATCTCTTGAAGGAACGATGAACAGGGCGTCGTGAGCTCCTCGATACCGAGTTTTGGGTTTGGTTTTTTGTTTTGGTTTGGTTTTTGGTTTGTTGGTTTTTTTTTTTGCCACGGGTGTGTTGTCTACACACCGCTCACGAGAGAAGTAACATCAGCAGAGTTCCCTACAGGGGGGGGAAATAAATAAATAAATAAATAAACCCCTAGGAAAAAAAAAAAACAAAACAGAGAAAGAATATTGAAATTACTTGAAGCACCTCAGCGTGTTCTCTCCATTCTCCCGCGGCACAGAGGCACAAACTCGCGGGGTTTGGCTCGGTGGCGGCCGTCGCCTGCTGGGACGGCGCCTTTGGGAAGCCTCTCGCTCGCGGCATTTTCCTGGAAATTCTCGGATTTTCCTTTGTCTGGGCAGGAGACGACCCGGGTTTTTGTTCTCTCTAAATTGTAAAACTTCACAAACCGCTGGGAATACGACTTGTCTCCCCAGGCACGTTTTGGGTTTTTTTTTTTTGCCGCACCG